AGCAAAGGGAAAAGGTAGAGGTTTATAAGATATTTATTAATAACTTGGGTGCCACAGTGGCACATCCAAACAAGCCACATGAACTCAATACTGGTGCACAACACAAAATTCATTCTGCTCATGGGAGGAAACTCTTAGAGGGAACACTTCCCCCAGCCTCTCGGCCCCCAAGTTAATGTCACACATGTTGGGTTAATGCAATTGCAGGATAGTTGCATGAGCGGGGCTTGGTGGGGGCCAAACTAATACCTATTGGTAGGAGGATGGTGGGAAAAGTCCTTGGAAGGGGGGGTCACATGACACCTTTTACTTCTGGTCATGTGTCCATCTTGCCCTGAGAGAGTTACCTCCAAAGGCCTGGCTAATAGGAATCAGGGGGTGTGGCTAATGGGGCTCCGGGGCGTGGTTAACAGGGGCCAGAGGTGTGGCTATTGGGGGTCAAAGAGTAAATTTTAAAAACATTCTTTGATGTGAAAAAGTAGACTGTTCTCAACCCATTTCCCAGGCCTATTTTGATTGCCAGTCAGCCCCTGGGAGTGGAGTTAGCTTTTATTGTCTGCCAGAAGCTCAAGAAAGCAGCCCAAGGGCTGTGTTGCTCCAAAAAGGGAGCAGAGCTGACTGAAACTGGGAAGTTGCTCAAGAATAGGCAGTGCCATCCCAGGGAGAGGGAGGCTATAGGGACAGAGAGATGGGTGGGTGTTTTCCCTGCTTGGAGTCACACTCCCTGTTAGGGCTAGGAGAGTGAGGCACTTGCCTCGGGCGCATAGCTGAGGGGGCTCAGAAATATAATATAGAAAACAAATTATTTTAAGACAGCTACTTATTTTAAGACAGCGCCCCTTCCCTCCCCTTCCTATTAGCATCGGCCGGGCCACAGTTTACATTTCAGGCTGCATGTTGTTGCTCTTCAATCCAACCATCACCAGCCCTGGCAGCTGCCCAGCATGTCAGCTGCTTCCAAGTGGTGTGGGAGGCTGGGAACCGGCTCAGCCCCACCAAGCACCATCTTAAGGTGCCCTAGCACAGTTCCCAGGTGCGGGGCTGGAGGAGAAGGGGCTCAGATTGCCCTGCACAGGGACAGAGGTGCAGGGGGTGAGGTGGGGGTGTCAGGATGAGAGCCTGGACTCCTGAGTCTTGTCTCATCTCGGCCAGGGGAGTGGTTCTAGGTCTTAGGAGTATGTGATTAGAGCTGGGGGTCTGGGAGTTATTATCCCTGGATTCTATGGGTCGGGATCTAGGCCCTTAGCTTGTTGGAGACATGCTGCTGAGCCGCCTGTGCCAAGTGCTTTGAATGTGCTACACAAACCAAGGGGACGAGGCAGTGACTGTGGCTTCTTGCGAAAAAAGTTTGAGTAAACTAAAATTAATTAAGAACTACCTTTGAGCATCCACGGGTCAGGAGAGATTATCAAATATGTCCATATTATCAACAGAACATGAGGTAGCGACTAATATTAATTTCAACACAATTATTGATGAGTTTGCCTCACTAAAAGTGTGCAAAGTACAATTATAAACAAATACCTAATAGTACCTGACATGGTGATATTTTATAATGATATGTATATATGTATGAATGGATTGTTTATGCATATCTCATAACTATAATAAATGTGGTGGTGTTGTTATTATGATTTATTATTTATGTATTTTCCCTTTTTCTACAAAATAACTACTATGAATATATACACAGGAGGGGGTGCAATTTTATTTTCTTGCCTCAAGCGCAAAATTAGATAGTTACGGCACTATCCCTGTTTACATTTGTTCAATGGATTTGGGCTGTCGCAGGGCTTGGCAGCTCCCCAGCAGGGTGAGGGGCTCCTGCTCTGTGACATGCTCCCGAGCACAAGAATAGGAGCAAAGTCCATACCTGCTGAATGGGCAGGTCGCCTTCCTACCACACAAATAAGTCCCAATGCGCATATGTGTATATTGATTTGTTACCCCCTAAAGTTAATTAAGTATTTCAGGAAAAATTGTCAGAGCAGCCACCAGAAAGAGCTGAGAGCTGCGCACTGAGGCCACCAAAGCTTGTTGTGAGAACCCTGGTCTAGACTTACTCTGCAGTAAAACAGGCTTGCAAGGGGGGTATAGAGCAGGAATATACAGCACAAGTGGCCAGCCAGAGATTAAAACAGCCCTTCCTTAGGAAGCCCTGGAAGTGACTCAGTACTTGTGTGTTCCCCCTCCCCTTTGCTCTCCAGCTCTAACAGTAGCTATCATGGCCCAATAACCACGTCACCTTAAGTGACAGAATATAACACCAATTCAGGTGAGCACCTGCTGCTTTGATATATCTGCTAATTGCTGTATATAGCTATGAAAAGTACCAGGTGTTTTCCATTCAGTATTTGAGACACTGTGTGTATTCTAAATTAAAAGGGGAAATATCTTTAACAAAGACTCTGTGGCATACAATTAATTCCTTTAGGGTATGTCTACACAGTACTATTATTTCGGAATAACAAAGTGCACGTCAACACAACAAGCCCGTTATTTCAAAATAATTTCAAGATGGCGGACTTCTTACTCAGACTCCTGTAATCCTCATTTCATGAGGAGTAAGGGAAGCTAAAGGAAGAGTGCTCTTCCTTTGACTTCCTGCTGCGTAGACGGCTCCAAAAGTCGAATTAAGCTATTTTGACTTCAGCTATGTCAATTGCGCAGCTGAAGTTGCATAGCTTAATTCGACTTTTTCTCTGCTGTGTAGACGTGCCCTTGGGGACATTTTCCTTTTGAAATAAATACAGGAATTTATTATCCAATAAAATAATCAGCCACACATAAAAAGGGAATATTAAAACATTTAGTGAAGTCCAAAAATAAATTTAAAAGACCTAAGATATATGCCCATAGACAGTGCCTGTGAATCCCCTGCCTTTTTCATACAGCCTAATTTGCCAATTCTCCAGGGCTGTGTCTACATTGGCATCCCTTTCCAGAAAAGGGATGCTAATGAGACACTTCGGAATTGCAAATCCGCAGGGGATTTAAATATCCCCCGCGGCATTTGCATTTACATGGCTGCCGCTTTTTTCCGGCTCGGGGTTTTTGCCGGAGAAAAGCGCCAGTCTAGACGCGATTCTCTGGAAAATAAGCCCTTTTCCGGAGGATCCCTTATTCCTACTTGAGAGCCTGGGCTATACATAGAGGCTATACACTCCTGGGAACAGGAATATCGGACTTTCTATACAGGATCAAATCACTAGTCTACTGAGTCTGGTATCCTTAGAGCAGTTCCTGCTACTTCAGAGCAAGGCAAAAGCTGTTTTCAACTGCACTTAGAATATGAAATAATAGCAATATCTCTCATACGACTAAGTGATGAACGTTGGCTTTCTGATGGTGACTATTGTACCTGATTATAAACTAATAAGCCATTTTACCATTTCTTGGCAGAAAACTAATAAGCAATGTTGACCTGAAGAAAAGCTCTGTTTAATCTCAAAAGCTTGTCCCTTTCACCAAGGCTGTGTCTACATTGGCATCCCTTTCCGGAAAAGGGATGCTAATGAGACACTTCGATTCCTACTTGAAAGCCCTACTTGAAAGTAGGAATAAGGGATCCTCCGGAAAAGGGCTTATTTTCCAGAGAATCGCGTCTAGACTGGCGCTTTTCTCCGGCAAAAACCCCGAGCCGGAAAAAAGCGGCAGCCATGTAAATGCAAATGCCGCGGGGGATATTTAAATTCCCCGCGGATTTGCAATTCCGAAGTGTCTCATTAGCATCGCTTTTCCGGAAAGGGATGCCAATGTAGACACAGCCCAGAAGTTTATCTAGGCAAGGGAGATGTATTACGCAGTCATGTAATGGGGACAAGATGGAGAGGCTGTTTGTTCTTTATGCTTAGAATTAATCTCTTAGCCCATATTGCATAAACAACATGGTTCAGGTAAGGCCAGATTCTGATTTTAATTACTTCGGTGTGCCAGAACTAACAATACTGAGTCCTGCTTCTTATATCATTGGTGCACTAGTTTTCTTTCTGCATTTTTCCACTGATTTCAATGGAGTTTTTCTTTATGCACACTGGGGAAACTGAGAGCAGAATGTGACTAATAATATTGAATTTGTTAGGGCTGACCTTTGGGATTTTTTCTTTACAAAGTCCTTTCTATTAAGAAGCTAGAAACTGATTTTCCTTTCATGTCGGTTTCATAGTAATTGTAACTGAATTGATTTATTCCTGATTTAAACCATTGTGAGGAGAATCTGGCCCATTATCTTTATTCTCTCTTGTCAACAGACCCTAAATATACTTTCTTTTTAAGCAGCAAATTCCATGAAAAAGCCCTTTCATAATGAGAGAATGAAACAGAAAGAAGATGAAATAAAGCTGCCAGAGGAGTCAAAAGATAAAGGGCGCCAGGCTGAGAAAGCAAAGGAAGACGATAAGATGGAAATGGAAAAGAAGGCTGTGCACCGAAAGCTTTTTCCAGACTCAAGTCTGTTCAAGCGCTGGGGTGCAGATTTAACAGAAGAGCAACAAACCACCGCACAGGATCTATTCATTAAATATGGGTATAATGTTTATCTCAGTGACGGTCTGCCCCTGGATCGGCCTATTCCAGATACCAGATATCCCAGGTGCAGTATGAACTTTGCATACATTCATAGGCAAATGAATTTGAAGAGGTGCTATCCAAGGCCCCAGGCTGATTTGGAATGGCAGTTAATAAAGTATCCTTGAGCAGATCTGAATTTGAGCTGCAGTTAGTTTGATTTTTTTCATTCACTTTCTTCCGAATTTTACAAAGAGCAGTGGATAATTCTCAGTACACACAAAATACACGTCAGAACGGCAGAGCTTGTAGGAGATGTATACAAAAAATATAACAGGGAAGTTTTAAGTAAAGTAGGATCTTCTTAACAATGGTGCTAGCACAGGGGGGAAATAAAAGCAGCATTCAAAAGGCCTTCTACCCTGTGCTGTATTTTAAGCTCCACTTGTGATCTGAGAAATTGTTCCCTGTGCACAAGCCCTGCTCAGGGAAGAAAAAATCTAGAAAGGACAAGGCAGCTTTATTATGTTTATACGAAGCTGACAGCGTAACCAAAAGGCTAGGGCACTGCCCAGCTGTTAGGGGATGTGAAATTCATGCCAGTGATTCACTGTGGGATATTGTGCAAGTCACTCAGACTTTCTCTTCTTCCCCTTTTCCATCTCATAATAATATGTTAAAAATTAACACATACATATCTTTGTAATGTACTTGGAGAAAAAGATATCTGGAGTTACGTAGGTATTATTAATGGCAGGAGACACTAAGCCTAGTATCCTTTAGAAGCATTATGATAAATGATAGGTTGAGCCGAGATTCATGAAAATGGAGAGACTGAACATGTTAGCACTCAGGACAAAAGTCTGGCTAAAAAACAGTTAACCAGGGCTTGTATAATCCTTGGCAATGTGCTACAAAATCCTTGAGTGCTTTCTCCCTTTCCCTAGTGCATTCTTCAAGTTCATAGACTTGATGCTCTGGTCATAAACATCATTCTTACTCAACTTTAACTACAGCTGGTCAACCAATTTTGACTTTTTTTATTGAAAACCAGGGACATATTATTTGAATGGTTTTGTGAAAAAAGTTCCCATTTTTGATCAGCTCTAAATGAAGTTCATTGATTTCAGACGCCTGAATCATGATTTACTCAAGTATAAATGGGATCGGAATAAACTTTATCAATCTGTGGAGGTGTCTTCACCCCCCACCATAATGTCTGAGCATTGCAGGCTCTCCACTGATTTTCTTCTCAGAGGTCCCAAAAGCTGCAAGCGGGCTGTTTTAAAGATACAGAACCACCTCTCTTGAACTTTAGGAGAATTCAGAGCTGAATGAATATGTGGACACCAAGTTCCTACCTCAATAACAGGCCCCCCCCAAAAAATACTGAATAGCAGCAAAGAGGAAAATTATTAATCTCCCTGCAAATTGGGCATGTGGACCTGTGGAAAAAAGATAAATTCTTTCTTATCTCATCAACCCTATTCATTCATTATAACTTGATTACGTCATTGCTGTGGCTAGCTAGGAACGATTTGTATCCTGAGAAGTAGACTGAGCCAGCTGCAATGGGTACAACAAGCAGGTGAAATCTTCCTCTAAAAGAGTAATGGAGCAAAGAATGTGTGAATAGTGTAAGGAATGAGACATTCTCTTATACTGTGGCAGAGCATCTTACATGGTGCCAACTTGAAAGATACAGAGGAATCAGATAGATAATGCTCTGTTTTATAAGGGAGAAGATTGCCAGGTGCCACGTTTGCTTACAAAGTGAATCCACTGTCTGGTCTTGTGCATTTAGAAGATGGAGGCATAGTTTGGACTCTTAAGAACTAAATCAGGACTACATAAGACAAAGGACAGCAGGGTGCTCCTAGCTGCGCATCTAGTGAAGCTGACTCTAGACGGCTTCTATCTGGCCTTCCTAAGCTGATCCCCCTTCTTTTTAACATGTGCTCTGCCCTTAAAGACACAGAATGTATACCTGAGACCTACATTCAAGTAGAAATTTAGAATGAAAGTAAAATGGAATTATTTTGAATCTACTCCAACAGATACAAGAAACCAGTGCTTTTGATTTCACTGAAATTCACATGTCTATGTTTTGCTCTGGCAAAGAATACTTGTGATTCTGTGATGAGGCAAGATCTTCAAAAAGACAAGGGCCTGGTTCTCAGTCCTATTGTGATCTAGTGTCAGTACCTTGCTGGTTGCTGTGCTTGGGCCGAGGGCTGTGGATGACTGGCCTCTGTCTGTAAGCACTGCCCAGCAGGGGGCACCTTGAGGGCCCCCATGGCAGTGACGGAACCGGTTCTACCGGTTAAGGGACGGGATGGAAAAGGAAGTGAGCATGCGGGGAAAGGGAGTCTTGGGCTGGAACCATGAAGGGGACAGACTAAGGAGGGGCTGGAGTCTAGGGGACCAGCTACCCCATCTCAAGGGGTCTGAGGCATCCTGGTCCAGACTTCTGTAGACACATCACATCTATGCTGTGCTGTATCCTGGAGAAGGAATAAACCCCCTCTATTCTACTGGCTGGCGGAGTCTGTTCTTGCTGGTACGGGGGTGCAGGGTTGGGGGAACCCCGACACGTCGTCACACCTATGAAAGCCCCTTTCTACAGAATCAGGCCCTGAAGGATCTTTTCCGTGAGTCGCCACTATTCAGAACAATTTCCCCCTTTGTGCTGGTTGGGCCTAACCCTGAAAAATGAAGATGCTCCCTTCACTTGGCTACTTCTCCACTGTGTCTTTTCAGGAATTCTACTAATATTCTTCTCACTCCTACAGCTGTAAAGTGAAAAAATATCCCCAAGACCTCCCGACACTTAGCGTCGTTCTCATATTTATGAATGAGGCAATATCGATCATCTTACGTGCAATTACCAGTATTATTAACCGAACACCTCCTCGTTTGTTGAAAGAAATTGTCCTGGTAGATGATTACAGTTCAAATGGTAAGTGACACTGTAAAGGCAGAGACATATTCTTTTCCTTCTGAATGCTCTTGGCATGCTAACTAAAAGATATTGGTACAACGGAGCAAGTTTTGAAGAAAAGCAACCAAGATGAGGAGAGGGATTGAGGAGAAATAAAGCTATGTAGCCTGGGAAGAAACAACTAAGAGGAGACTACATTGACAGTCTACAAGTTATTTGAAAAGTTGAAACATTGAGGAAAGTGGCATTCAGGAAATGCTCTGAGCCCAACATGCTTGACGGAGATCTTCTGTATTCAGTGACCCAGTCAAAAATGCTTGTGCATAACTGATTATGGGCTTCTGAAGCACCCCTCTCACAGACTGCCTGTCTGGGAAGCTATCACATTTATGGGTACAATTCCTGATAGCACATCTCCCTTTCCCAGCCAAATTTAACAATAACACTTAAACAACATTGAAATAACAGACAGTTCTAAGAAGCTTAAGTCCAATTAATAGGTTGATTATAACCGTAGTCAGTTAACCTCTGAGACACCCTGCATCACCGCTTGGACTTGCAGGTTTCTCTTGAAATATCAGTGCTACTGCTGTCAGGAGGCAATGAGTGTATCTGTTCTGGCAGTATTGGGGCGGGGGAGGGGGCAGGTTCAGTCATGTTAACCTCATCTGGTTGTTGCCTCGCTGAGTAAAAAGTGTGAACTCAGGGCTATATTTCACAGCCTTCTGTACATTGAAGAAAGTGTTGCTTGTTTCTCCTCCATATGTATCTGCCTAGATGTCACAAGGGATTGCCCTGCAGTTATCACTTTTCTTTGAGATCACTGATTACTGTCAAAGGTGTGTCATATTCATGTGATGTTGCTTGTTGCTTTTTATATTTCCAGGGCTGAGGACAGAAACGGGGGCCCTGGGAAAGGGGGCGGAGCGCAGCTGGCTCTGAGCTCTCCCTGAAGGAGCCAGCCCTCAAGTAGAAGGGATGGGATAGGGGCTAGTCTCTCCCCTTTAGCCCTTCTGCACTGGTCAGACCATGCAGCCTAGGGCTTTGACAAGGATTTAAAAGAGCTCAGACTTCTGGCTGCTGCTATAGCAGTGACAGCCGGGAGCCCCAGACCCTTTGAAATCACTGGACTCTGGGGCAGCTGACCCATTTCTTCCCCCATTGGCGGCCCTACCTGTTTCTTTATACATCTGCAAATTCCCAGTTTGTCTGACATCAGCTTCTATGCTTCCAGGCGTTCTAGTTTTCAGCTTTGTTAAAAAAAACTTCTGCAGGTGATAAACTCGTGAAGTGACAGTGCAAAGCACTTTTTGCAGCAGTGGCTTTATTATTTTGACATCATTTTTGACCAGCCCACTGGCCTGGGGATCAGGAGGACTTGTCCATGTCTAAACCAAACTGCCATGGAAACTACTTAAATTCATGCTTGCTGAATTGCAGCCATATTGTCAGGCTTTGCTATTTCACATATACCATGTCTGTCAAATCTGGTGTTGCTAATCACGTGTTTAATGGTCGTATCTTCCCATAACCCAGAACAAGTATATATATTTTCCCATTACCATAAACAAATCTACACCTGCGGTGCTCCAGAAGGTGAGATTTTTTTGTGTGTTGCCAACATAACTCTTTTGTTTGATGTGGTCTGCATTTCCAGGAGATGGAATAAGCCTTGAGAGATTTCTCAATATTGCTGCTCATTGAAGGCCAGTATAAATTGTCTCTCACAATTCTCTTTGGATGTATCTACACTTGCACCCTCTTTCGATAGAGGGATGCAAATGAAGACAATTGAAATTGCAAATGAACATAATCGCTTTATGGCAGTATTTCAAAATAGCGCTATTTCGAAATACAAAACAGGGTGTAGATGCGGTTATTTCAGGAGAACACCCTTCTTCCAAAATAACTTAAACCTCATTTTATGAGGAATAAGGGTTATTTTGGAAGAAGGGTGTTCTCCTGAAATAACCGCATCTACACCGCATTTGTTATTTTGAAATAGCGCCATAACGTGATTATGCAAATTAAGCATGGGATATTTAAATCCTGGCTTCCTTTGCAATTTCGAATGTCTTCATTTGTATCCATCTATCAAAAGAGGGTGCAAGCGTAGATATACCCTTTGATTCAATCAGTCCTTAAAAGACCAACATGTATCTTTTTAAACTGATTTTTCTGTAACAGTTTAGTAATCCCATCTAAAACTGAAAACTTCCTGTAAACCCTGGCTCAGTGAAAGGGGTTGGGAACACGATGTCCCAGCCTATAGCCTTAATTTTCTGTAGCGTCTCATCCTGAGTAGTAACTCTAACAATTACAATCCGCACTTCATGAGATATTTGACAGGGTAATTTTGTTTTTAAATCAAAGTTTTACAATGTCTAGCTCTGGACTTGCTCCACGGTATTTTTTTTTTTAATCAAAAGCTCTGTAGTGTGCGCATGTCTGCAGAAACCAAATCTCTCGCAGTTTTTCACTGAATTACAAATCAGACATCTATACCTGAAAAGTCACCTCTGTGTTCTCTGAGTTGTTTTCCAGGCTCCTTTTGCCATAGAAATAAGCTGTGTATAGTCAGTTTCAACTAACACCTGTCTCCCATAAATAAAAATATGAAACAAGGACAAGTGCAATGTCCTGCACTTAGGATGAAATAATTCCAAGCATTTTTATAGGCTGGAGACTGACTGGATAAGTGGCAGTTTTGCAGAAAAGTACCTGGGGATTACAGTGGATCAGAAGTTGGCTATGTCAGTTTGCCCTTGTTGCAAAAACTGCTAATAGCATATTAGGCTGCATAAGTAGGAGCATTGTCATCAGATCAAGGGAAGTGATTATTCCAGAGAGCACATCAGTTCGTTTCTCTCTCTCTCTCTCTCTCTCTCTCTCTCTCTCTCTCTCACACACACACACACACACACACACACACACACACACACACACACACACTCTCGCTCAGGCTGTGTTTACACTGGGCCACTTATTCCGGAAAAGCAGCCGTTTTTCCGGAATAACTTGCCAGCTGTCTACACTGGCCGCTTGCTTTTCCAGAAAAGCAATGACGATCTACTGTAAAATTGTCAGTGTTTTTCTGGAAAAACTATGCTGCTCCCATTCGGGCAAAAGTCCTTTTCCGGAAAAACTGTTCCGGAAAAGGGCCAGTGTAGACAGCCC